GCCTTCTCATCGAGGAACTGCCGGAGCTTGGCCACGAGGGCGCAGTAGTCGCTCTTTGTCGTCTCGATCACTATCTCGTCGGTATACTTGCACGCTATCTGCAGCGCCGAATGCCCACCAGAACGAAGAACAACGAGCGAAGAGCGATCAGGGGCGAAGAGAGAAGACGTGAGTGGATCGTAGGGGGAGTGGATGGCGGACCTGGTCGGGGCTCACGACGTTGTGGCTCATCAGCAGAGTGTAGATTCGGTGGTTGAGCGCGTGGTAGATCTTCGACTGTGCCTGATGGTTGATCTTGCCCAGCGCCGCAGCCCGGAATCGCTTGCTGTTGAGCAGCGCCTGATAGCTCGTGTAGCGACTCAAGAATTCCACCCAGTTCTGTGGTATAGGAAAGAAATGCGTTGTGTTGCGTTGTGTGTTGTGTGTTGCGTTGACATGAGCACCGAGCAAATAAAGAATATAGAATCGCTCAACGCGTGGTGCCGTACCTTGGTCTCAAAGACCAGGCGAGGGTCGTAGTAGCGAAGAGCGTTGAAGTTGGCCGAGGTGAAGTCCAGGGAGACGTAGTACTTGCCCGAGTTCTCGATTTTGTAGAGGTTCTCCGTAGCAGCACTGGTGGATAGATCGTGTGTGCGCATGAGTGCGCCGTTTGTGAGTCATGTGTGTGTGTCATGCCGTGTGTGTCGTGCGTGAGGCAAAAGAAGCTGACTGACACTGGGAGGGGTTTAGAGCGCACCGCTCGGGAGCCGGGTCTTTGATGTCAAACCGGGACAGGTTGTCGGCGGCAAAGGTCTTGTAGGCCTCTGTGCCGGTGACGTCATCGATGATGCGCTGCACCAGCTCGCCCGTGTAGTTCTTCCACTTGGCCACGCTGCCTGGCGTGATGGGAGTGTCAACAACACTGACAATGGCGGGCTAACGCACACGCACACGCACAACAAGAGAGAGAGAGAGAGAGAGGAAACCTGAGAGTTGACAGCCTCGAGGAAGAGGTCCAGGTGGTTTGTGAGTGGAGCACGGGCTCGTAGAGGCTACAGAAGTACTCGAAATAGGGCGATTCCAGCACCGGCATCGGCACAGTAAAGTCGATGCAGAACCTGAAGCGCAGCGGTCCACCGCCAGCACCCATCAGCCCTCGAGCGCCAGAGAGCGAAGCGAAGAACGAAAGAACGAAAGCGAAGAACTTCGCTCAATGGTGGTGGGGGGGCACAAACCTGTTGCGCAGAGTGACGGGCAGGGTGGCGGCGGTGAAGGGCTTGGCGGCTCGGCCTCCTCGCGCTTTGCGTGCCCTCTTCTCCTCTTCCTCCATCTTCTCCCTTCGCTGTGCCCAGTCCGCCGGCTTGGAGATGCGCAGCGTGTGCTTGGGCGGTCCGCCATCGACCGCGTTCAGCCCCAGGCCCCTGGCGAAGTCGCCCAACAGTCTCTTCTCGAGCGTGTTCAGATTGCCGCCCAGGAAAAGCTCGTTCCCATTCTTGGCGCCATCTTTGGCGTTTGTGAATTGTTCGATTCTTTTGCAATTGTCCTCCACTACGCTGCGATAATCGTTGTCTCTTCGCCTCTTCTTCTTCTTGCCCTTGGCGCTCTTGCCACCGTCCTTGCTGTCTTGTGTGACGCGTGTAGAAGTGGAGGGCGAGGGGTGATTTATGCCATCGTCCGCTTCGCCCAGCACGGCAAACATGTTGCCACCACTTGCCAGCATGGCTTGTCTACGCCTCCTCTCCTTCCTCTTGCGGTTCTTGCTTGACATTGGAACTGCTCTCTTAGAGCGCATTTTTGCCTGAATTATTTGATAGAAAAAATAAAGAAGTAGAGGCGGTGTCATGTGCGTGCGCACCTCGCGGGACATGAGCTTGTGGATGGCTTCATAGGTGCGACCCTTGGCGACGTACTCCGGGTAAGCAGATGAGCCTGGCCAACTTCTCAAAGAAGAAGAACGTGGCAGGAAGAAGCACGTGATGGCATGACGCCGACGTACCCTGCGACACCAACTCGTCCTGCATTCATCGCAAATGAGCATTGGCAAACACGACTTGCACACGACATCAGGAAAGTACCATGTCGGCACCGCCATGTTTGAACTGCAACGCAGAAACTTACCACCGGTGATGAATTGTACCCCATGGTGGTGAGCGTCAGCGGCACGCCGATGAACAATGTTGTGGGGATAGCCACACAGCGGAGACAGAGCCGATCATACACATGACACACACGACACACTAGGAGATTGAACAGTGCTTGCGAACACCACAAGAGTCTATGGCCGCGAGGAGACGCACAACCAGACCACGACCACACGCAGCGTCTTTTTGGCTTTAAAAAATGTAAGGCGGATTGTGAACATTACGTAAAGGTTCACATCACAGTCAAGGCTTCCAGTGTGGTTGCTGTGGGTGTGGTTTGGTGCTAGGTGGTGTCAGAAAGAAACAGGCAAAACACAGATCGACATTGGCAGGATTCGAACCTGCGCGGGGAAACCCCACCTCGTTAGCAGCGAGGCACCTTAACCACTCGGCCACAATGTCTTGCACTACCTGCCGTGGGAAGGGCTCCTCCATCGGTATCCTCTGCATCCCGCACTGCACAAGCAGCAGTCTGGCAGAAGAGTTAGTGAGCTAACGCCGTGGTTGTACAAGACGAGAGGTTTATTAGTCCACGGTGGTCTGCAGTTTTACTTGCCTCCCCAGGAGTACTTCCAGGAGAAGTCCACGTCGTTGCTCACGCTCTCCGGGGTCATCGAGAGCATGCTCGAAAAGCCCCCCGGCGAGCCGGTGAAGCTCGCCGCCAGCTCCTCGCCGCCGATGCTGCCGCGTCGCATGAGGAAGTTGGGCGTGCCCGGCGGCGTCTCGTTGCTGCTGCAGTACCCGTCGCCGAGATTGGGCGACGACGAGCCGGGCAACGACGACAGGAATGTGAGCGGCACGCGCATGGCAGGCGACGGCGGCGCGGCGGCGGATGATGATGGTCGCGCGATCGTCAAAGCTGTCGCGGTCGAGGCCGTGGTTGTGGTTGGTGGCGCGGTGGTGGCCGTGGCGGGGTTCTCTGGGATGGGGCTCCAGGTCTGGTAGATGGCGCTGATGTGTTTGGAGGAGTGGCGGAGGAGATAGGGGTCGAAGGGGAAGAAGGAGTCGAGCTGGTTGGCGTTGCCAAAGACGGACTTGGTCGCCAGCACGACCCGCTTGTTGCGCTCGAGCACGGCCCGAGCCGAGGGCAGCAGCCCGCACAGGTCGGCCGCCACCTTGAGGAACTCGGTGACCACCGTCGACGCGCACAGCCGGAGCGGGTTGAGTCGCGATTGGATGATGGCGTCGAGCTCCAGGCTGTCGAGGAATGCCGCACCCTCCTGTGATTCGCAAGAGAATGTATGGAATGATGGAATGTAAGTAAAGATGGAACGACGGAGCGAGCTCGGGTGGGGCCACGTACGGGTGTGCGGAGGGCGAGCTGCTGGTATTTGAAGCAGACGACGTAGAAGACGGCCTGGCAC